TTTAACTTTAACTTTTACTTTTACTTTTACTTTACTTTACTTACTTACTTTACTTTACTTACTACTACGTACGTATACGTATATACTACTCTCTCTCTCTCTCTCTCTCTCTCTCTCTCTCTCTCTCTCTCTCTCTCTCTCTCTCTCTTTCTTCAATTTCCTTAGATAAAAATGAACTAAATTGTCTCTCTCTATCTCTCTCTCTTCAGTTACTTTTAAACATTTTTGTTGTCCCCAAAAATAGTGGAAAATTTATTTTCCTTCAATTACTTGACAAAAAAAAAAAATTGTGTTATGAAATGAACTAGAATCCATTTTTAGTCAAAGGGGTTGTGCCACTGGCTAACCTTCTAAATTAGAAGGTTATCACTTCATTACCATGAGTTTGACAATTAGCTCTTTTCTTGAGGTGGCTAACGAGTGGGATTGAGTTCATTCATGCCATTGAGAATCACATTGTCATGAGTATGCAAGAATAGATGCATATACATCCTAGTAATGGAGATGGATAAAAAGCCTTGAATGGAAAAGAATAAGAAAATTACAAATACTGATATACATAATCAAAGGAGACCCTGGAAATCACCTAGACAACATCTGAGGTCATGCTAAGGTCCTTTCATGTGGTAGTCACTAGAAGAGCCCAAAGCTCATCTATCACCTAGACTGTAGGCACAGTTGGTTGCGCACAACAAGAATCTCCCAAATCAGGGTTCCACCTGCAATAACCTCAGTTTTGGAGGAACTGAGTCACAATCTCAACCAAAATTGGCACGAAAACTATAATGGAAGCTAAGTAATCCCCAAGCCCCCTGTCAAACCTTTACAGCTCATCTCAAGAGCTCTACAAAGGTCAAAACAAGAAGCAAACACAGAGGGTTCACAAAACAAAAGAGAGTTGGCTCAGTTCAGGACTTGCCTGTGCAGAGTCCAACTCGGCACTCCAAAAAATGTTTTTAGAAACTCACTAAGCAGACTAGGGACTTGCCGAAGCTTGGGACCCTGGTGAGTTCTGAGCCAATTATTCCGGACTCACGCAAGGCTTTCCTTTTCCGTGGCCTTCCTTTAATATTTTTTATAGAAGAGGGCCTAGCGAGTCCCTCTCCGAACCCAGGCTCTTAAACACTGCTATGAAATACAGGTTTTGAAAATGCACGAAGCAACTAAGTCTTCTCAGTTAAATGATGTACGTCTGATTTGGATTTTTTATTTTTGTTATGACTCCAAAAGATAGATTTGTGGAGAGTGGGTAAGTTTTCATGTTTTTCTAGGAGATCTTACTTGCCTCATTCTTCCTCTATTTTTGATATAAGAAATGTTTGATCTGGGTGCCTATCTCCATGACCCTAAAAACAACAATATCATAAGCTCTAACTTTGGCAACAGAATAAGTAAACAGGCATTTTACCAGTCATGTGTAAACCCCTGAATGTAATCCCAATGCTGCAAATTGTAAAAAAGGATTAAAGAACTCAAGAGTATAAATGAAGCATGTAACCTCAACCAAAAGACAATGGATTCACTACAACGGTGGAGACATACCAAAAGACAATGGATTCACTACAAGAGAAGAATATGGAGCAGAAGGATTTAAGACCAAGATAAGTATGTCCTGAAATTTTGAATGGTACTTCTTAACCATAATTCAGAAAAGGAAAAAACAGTATCCTCAACCACTGGCAGAAATTCATACATCAAACGCATGTACTATATATGGATCTGCAATGGGTTTGCTACAAGAGACACATATGGAGTAGAAGGAATTGACACCAAGACAGTATGTCCTGAAAATTTCAACGGTATTTCTTAACCACAATACATGAAGATAAAAACAGTACCCTCAACCACTGGCGGAAATTTGCACATCAAACGCATGCTCTATATATAAATCTGCCCAAGCATGAAAAGGAATGTAGGTTTAAATTTATAGGCAAATCAAGATTTAAACAAACTACAGCTCTGATTATCAGCCTAATTCTCAAAATACCACAATACAAAAGATAAAAACAATCTCCTCAACAAAAGACAGCAAACCTCTAAATCAAATGCTTGCAATATAAAAAATATAAATTTGTGAAAGGCATACACAAGTAATCCAGCCTAGAAATTCTCTAACAGTAACAAACTTAAGCTCGGTTAGTAAACAATTCAATTTCTAGGTTCTAAATTTAAAATAAACGAATGACAGGTAAGGAAACAAATAGAGACCAGAAAAACTTAAATTTGTACTTTACAAACTAACTGTTTCAACAAATTGCAGCTTCAAATGGATCATCATAAATATCTGATCACTAAGAAAACTAACGGAATAAACCGATCATAGTAACATCGGTCCAGAATGCACTAAAACAAAAATTCATGCACAGAATTTGAAACAAAGGCACAAAATAATCAATGAAAATGACCTCCAATATTTCATGGGTCCTCTTCATATTCATAGCTGGAGGACCTTCAAACTTGATCTTTACGACCTCAACATGTCTCCATTTATCATGTATTGCAGCGACAATTGCCTGCGTAACCCCAGCAACTCCAATGTTGATCCTCTCTTTCATATGTAGAGCCAGGCTTCTAAGCCTGAGGAGCTCAGGCTCAGGAATGGTTGATTCCGCCAATGCAGTGGTGCTTCTGCTTCTTCTCTGCTCCACATTCCCCCTCTCTTCAGCCCTCGCCACCCACGGAAACTCAATGGGATCACCACCCTCTTTAAACTGAAATGGAAGGCGGTAACTCTTAACTCTGAGACCAGAATCATCAGTTTTGTCACTATCTTTCACCCCAGATGGAAGGCTATGGCTCTTATTTGTGAGACCAAATTCACCATTGTTATCAGTATCTTGAACCCCAAATGGAAGGCTATAACTCTTATCTGTGAAATTCGATTCACCAGTTCTGACACCTTCTTTCTTATCTCTTTGCTCAAATTCACCATTTTTCACACTCTGTTTCCCCCCAAAATGAAGGGTATGACTCTTACCTCTTTGCGCCAATTCACCATTTTTCACACTCTGTTTCCCCCCAAAATGAAGGCTATGACTCTTACCTCTTTGCGCCAATTCACCAATTTTCACACTCTGTTTCCGCCCAAAATGAAGGCTATGACTCTTACCTCTTTGCAGCAATTCACCATTTTTCAAACTCTGTTTCACCCCAGATTGAAGGCTATGGCTCTTACCTCTTGATCCAAATTCACCATGTTTGAGGCTCTCTTTCACCCTGGAATGAGGGCTATAGCTTTTATCTCTTTTTCCCAATTCATTGTCCACATAACCACTAATCTCCTTGCCCCTGATGACTACATTGTTAAACTTAGAATCAGGACTCTGCGTCTTGCCTTCGATGACTTCATTGATAGAGGAGAAAGCATTGACGACTTCATTATCAAACTCCATCTTCTTCAGTTTTTCGAGAACTTCCCCTACCGTATTCTTTGGGATTTCAGTATTTGAAGGTTCTTTATTTTTCTTGCCTCCAAAACCAGCTGAATAATTGAAAGGGGTTTTCCCGTGAGATGCGGAACGCGAAGAATGCCCATTCGCCCAAGGAGCAGCAAATGGGCGGCTTCTAACAGGAAAACGCTGAGATGGGCGCTGAAATTCAGTCGGTTTTTTAGGAAAAAAACCAACCTCTTCTTCTTCTTCTCCGAGGGAAAGAGCAGAGAAATTGTAAGTCGAAACTGGGTTTTGTTCCTTTTCTTCTTCCCATGGAAGCTTGGGTCTTTGGGAGGCAATCCTAACAGACCATCTCTCTTTTGTTTCATCAAAAAAACTCGGCTTCCGCTTCCTTTCCTTCTTGTTCTTCGTCTTCTCTAATAACCCATCATCCACGCCTCGTATTTCAGAGGGCTCTGCAGTCTCCAGTTCAATATTTTGGAGAGCGAAACGACACTCGTGTTTCAGAGGAGTTTTGCAGAAGAGTCTGGTGCTTTGCAGTGAAATTCTCCGTGAAGAAGAAGAAAGAGGGGGAGTGATACAGGTGAGATCTTGAAGGGAAGCAGCCATGGCTATTGCCATTGCCAGTCACTGAGAGGACTTCACTTGGTCATGACTCTTTCAAATGTTTCAATTAACAGTCAGGGTTACAGCCATTAGGCGAACCAGGAAGTACATAAATGAGATAGGGGTTATAGTGGCTAAAGAAATACACTTTATTTACCCAACTTTTTTACTTTATAAAAGGAGAAAGTTTATGTAAGGTTGTAACCTTATGTAGAATTATATACGTACCTCAAAAATCCATCCAAAAAGGTTGTTTTAATATTGAAAAACTCTCTATTTGAACATCTCAACATCAAGATGTAGGTCTATGAGAAAAAAAAAGATTTTGAGTCTCAAAAATAGTGCATCTCACAGCACATTATCTAGACCGTCCATTTTCAAGATTTTCATATGTTTATAGATCTCCTTGATTGTAACCATTTTTTAAGTTTAAAATTTTATAATTAGATATGAAAATAGATTTTGAGATAATCTTAAGAATTTTTTTACCAAAATTACATGTCATGATAAAATTTGAAGGTGTGCCTTAATTGGATTGTTTGAGGTTGCAACCTTATAGAAACCGTACCTTTTATAAAAATAAGATTGTAAATATATGTGAGGGACAAAATTCAAAGGAAAAGTTTCAGGGTGTAGTTTGCATAAGGTAGTGACCTTAAACAATAAAATTAAGGTGCATCTCTAAATTTTGTCATGAGATGTAATTTTGGTGCCTAAAAGTTTTAGGATGGTGTGAGAATTTATTTTTTATCTCTAATTATAAAACTTTAAACTCTTAAAGTTTCAAATCAAATAGATCTATAAATAGATGGTTTGAAAAATATATTGCAAGATGAACTATTTTTAAGACTTAAAATCTCTTTTCCCCCTCATATAGATACATCTAAATATCAAGATGATCAATTAGATGTATTTTCAAATTCAAAACAATTTTTTTCAAAAAAATTTAGAGGTGCACCTTAATTCTATATTTTAAAATATCAACCTCATATAAATTTTTCTAAAAAGTTATACGGTGCTACTCCGCACCTTAAAAAGCCCCTAGAAGAGAGTGTACCAACTTCAGAAAATCTTCTAATAGATTATCTTGACCTCATGACTTATGGAATCGAAGAAAGAAAGAATTGCAAGTCCTAAAACCGGTACATGTTCTAATAAATAATTTGAATCATCTATTTTCAAGATTTGTAAATGCTTATGTACCATTTTTTAACTTTTAATTTTATAACTAGAGGTAAAATTAGAGATTTTTTAAGCCATTTATAACACTGGAACTACAACTCCAGGCAGAATTTAAAGGTGTGCCTTGCTTCTACAACATAAGGCGTCTTATAGAAACCTCACCCTAAGGCAAAACCACTTGCAAAATTACCAAGGGTCAATTGGTCAAAATATCTAACTTATCAACAAAGTATTTACTTTTTGCCAAAAGATTTTATATTCTCATTGGAGTATTTTGTGCATTACTCCTTGGTAAAATCCAATGTAGGGGTAATTTTAGGACTCCAAATTTTGGGTTGCAACCTCTTCAACCTACAGTCTAAATGCAGTAAAAATTTTTTTTTGAATTGAACTCTCTATGTATTAGAAAAAAATAATACCTCAAGATCAAAAAGTGACCCTCCAATCTTAGAAGGTATAAGTTTTAGAAAACCTCAAAATTCAATATTTTTTCTTTTTAAAATAATCATACGAAGATTCATAGGTAATTTTCTAAAATTCCAAATCGAAAAGAAATCCTCATAAGTAGTTATTGTGAGTGAGGGAGTAAATGCACAGTATATGCTGCCATGCGAGTACCTTGTTTATTTCAATTTGGCCTCATTATTTCTCAAAGAATAGTTTCAAACATGGAGTATAGCACGCTCATGTGGCACCACACTCTACAACAACTTCCTTGGGAAAATTAACTGCTTGAGAGGATTTGTTTTATCATAAATTTTGGGATCCAAGTAAGTATCACCATATGATTATTTTGGAGAGATAAAAAAAAAAGAAGAATTTTGAGTTCTTTTTTTTTGGGGTAATTTAATGGAGAAGAGATGCCCTTACCCCCTTTTTTAAAAAAATAGATTGGGAGTTAGCTTTTTGAAGGTATTTGTGGGGTAGTGTTGGTGGTGAGAATAGAAATCACAAATATGCTGACTAGAGTGTGGGGTACTACAACCCCGGCCCTGGCCCCATTCCCAGATTTTGAGTTCTTGAATATCTAGATCTTTCTCTCCAAAAGTTGGACGGCTTTTGTTCAATCTCGGGGACATAACTTTTTTTAGACATATAGACAGTGCAAAAAAAATTAATTTTTTTTTTTTTTTTTCTATTGAGGTTAGTTGTTGGGTTCTAGAGATTACATCTCCAAAATTTGGGTTCCAAAAATACTACTAGTTTGGGTTCTACCTGAGGGAGCAAATATACAGTATGCTCCATCGTAGAATAAAATCTTGAGAAAATATCTCCTTATCCTCTATTTTTTAATTCTATTTTGTCACGAGACCCAAAGATTGAAAATATTACTTGTAATATAAGGTCTCTATCTTTTTTATCTTCCAACCCCCTAAACCTCTTTGACCATGTATTTTTTACCCAAAAAAATATCAAAATGATACTCTCTCAAAATTTTTTTTTCCTGTTAATTTCACCGTTTATGTCTCCAATCATCATATCTTTTTATCTCTAATAACAGAGAAGTTCCACAAAGAAATTTATTGGTACCTTATGCTTGATTTAGTGACCTCCAAACGATCGGTGGGTTGGGGTTGTAACTGGGCAACAAGGCTTCAGATATGTGGCCTTTTGAGAGAGAATTTATGGTATATTGGACTGCAAAAGGGGCTAGACAGAGACATTGTAGTGTTTTGAGAGAGAGACGATGTAGAGAAGAGAACTTCTTGTATCAGTTTGGGTATTTGAGAGAGAGAAAATGAATATACCATGTTTGATGCTCGATTTTGTGACCTCCAAATGATCTGTGGGTTGGGGCTGCAACAAGGCAATATGACTTCAAATATGTGGGGTTTTTTAGAGAGAATTTGTGGTGTATTGGGGTTGCAAAAAGGGCTAGATAGAGATGTGGTGTTTTTAGAGAGAGAGATAATGTAGAGATGAGAACTTATTTGTAACTTTGGGTATTAGAGAGAGAGATGAAGTTTTGAGAGAGAGATAGTGCTTTGAGAGATAGACGGTGAAATTAATGGAAAACAAAAGAGTTTTGAAAAGGTGTCATTTTTAGTATTTTTTTGGCTAAAAAATTCATAGTTAAAGAGGTCCAAGGGATTGAAAGATAAAAAAGATGAAGACCCTATGCTACAAGTAATATTTTAAATCCTTAAGTCTCATGAAAAGTAGAAGTAAAAAATAGAAAATAATGAAATATTTTTTTTAAAATCTTTTTACAATTTTCAAATACCTCGAGCGTGTCTATCATATCCTAATAAGAGTATTCTAGCATTTAACCAACCTCATAGGCCCAGCCAAGTCATGAGAGAATCGTTGCTTGTTTAGAGTGGGTCAAAGTCATGTGAGAATCGTTGCTTGTTTAGAGTGGGTCAAACTATTGAGATATGCTTATGCAATTTTAGGAACCTTGAACAATAGCAAATTCGGTATATTTGAAATATTTTTGAGGTACGTGGGATAAGTACATTCAAATGTAACTACGTTTCATGACCATAGATGGGATCATGGGAAGAGTCGATTATGGGGAAAGTCTATCGTGCATCTCGTTACGTAAGTCCATCCTTGTCTAAAATGCACTTGGATAATTAGGAATACATTTTTATTTTAAGATTGATCAGGACTGCAGATCAGAATTTGTGTAGCTGGTCTTAATTAGTTAGAAAAATCCTTTGATTAGAAATTTTTTTTGACGATGATAATGATTTTCACCTTAAATTAATCCATTTACATTTTAAAAAACTGTGCAGGTCTCTTGAAATGCAAAAAAGTAACATACATGGTCTAATTTCTTTTTAAATATGTGTGGTTTGTACAAAGCCGAGGCTCTAAACAATAAAAGTAAGACGTATCTTCAAATAGTATCAAAAGATATTGTTTCAATTCTGGAAATCTTTGTGATGGCTGGATGATCTATTTTCATCTCTAATTATAAAATTTTAGGGTGTGATTTTTATAAGGTTGCAACCTTAAACAATCCAATTAAGGCACACTTCCAAATTTTATCATAGCATGTAATTTTGGTAAAAAAATCATTAGTATTATCTCAAAATCTATTTTCATATGTAATTATAAAAGTTTAAACTCTAAAAATGGTTAAAATCAAGCAGACCTATAAACATATGAAAATCTTAAAAATGGACGGTCTACATAATATATTACAAGATGAACTATTTATGGCACTCAAAAACCTTTTTTTTTTTTTCATATTTATATATCTTGATGTCAAGATGATCAATTAGAGGTTTTTTCAAAATTAAAACAACCATTTCGACGGAGATTTTTGAGGTGCATCTATAATTCTACGTTGCAACCTTATGTAAACTTCTTCCAAAATTTAAAGCTTAAAAATTAGGTAGGTCGAGCAGATCTATGACCACTTGAAAATCTTAAAAATTGACGGTCCAAAAATATATTACATGATGCCCTATCTCCAAAACTTGAAATCCATTTTTTCTCATGTCCATGCATCTTGAGATCGAGATGATCAATTTGAGGACTTTTGGGCATCCAAACAAACTTCTTTTAGTGAGATTTTTGAAGTGCACTTTAATTTAGTTGTTTAGAGCGTCACACTTATATATATTTTTTTAAAACTTTATTTTGACATTAGTTTTAGGATTTTGAATTTATCCATAATTTTTGGACCAAGATATTCCACTTGAGCTTTTCTTCACCAGAACTCCATTATCCCACAAGGTTTACTTTTCAGGACAATATATGCACAGAACCAAAATCAGAATGGAGCCCCGAATCCTAGGGAACATTTCCCATTCACCCGTTTCGATTCAAGCGACTCCTAAGTCAGACCGTATACATTAAAGAAACCGGGAGAATTAGGGCAATTCTAAGGGTTCCTCAAAACCAAAAGCACCCGATTTGATTCGAGTCTGAGAAGCACTACTTATCAGAGATAAATAAACTGCAATATCATTATTTTGTTCGAAAAATAGACCTTTGTCCTCTTAGCAAATGGCCCTACCTTTTCCTAAATAAATAAACATCATATCATACTAATTCACAAGATTATTCCACCAGAGCTCCTGCCATCATCTTTTTAACAGGAGGGGCATATCTGATGTACTAAGGTGTTATACCGGCAAATAGTTCCCGTGATCCTCCACAATTTGATGGGGCTAGCCTTCTGATCTCTTCAAAAGCGCAGAGGGTTTCGGCATCAAGACCCCCAGCAAACTGTGCATGCAAAAAATAATACTTTCAGACGACACATGAAAAGTATTTTTATTTTTCGTGGCAATTCAACAATAGGAATCAAACTATATAACATTGCTATCAATGGCCAATCACTCAAGCCCATGCCCAATTTGCTAAAAAAAAAAACTCCACAAGTTTTAAAACCCTGTTGCATTAGAAAGGCTAATCACTCGAGCCCATGCCCAACTAGTTCAAAAAAGATAAAAAAAACTTATATCTTAAGAAGAAGATAAACTCGCAGGAAGTTTTAAAACCCTGTTGCATACAAAATTAGAAATGTACGAGAGGGAGAAGCTGCACTACTTATATTATTTCGATGCAATTTAGAAAAAACTGCACTTGCTTTGCACAATACTCTTCAAATTAAATAAAATATAATTTTAGACTAAGTAATTTAAGATAAAATATTACCTTTACTATACGATTTAATCTATATTTTGGTAGAAACATTTTTTTAAAGAGACAAATGATCATAAGATATACAAGAATCAACAAAGAATTTGAAATTTGTCCCTACCTTATTCCCGGGTAAAAGACTGTTTCAGGATTTTGGGACCCACTTAATAATGACTCGGATAATATTTTCTAAAGATTTTGAATCCTTAAAAATCTAGATCCAAATATTCAAAGATTGTACCATTTCTATTTATTCCTAGGACTTGAATTTTTTTTAGGCAGCTCATGAATTCCATATAAAAAGTTTTCAAGTGGGCAGCAGGTTGAGTTGGTTTGGATCCCCGATCGTTAGGGTCCTAGATATATTCCTTGCTAGGGTTTTATACGAGGGAGTAAATGTACATTTTGCTCCTCCTGTAGAATAAAATCGTTTCCCTGTACAGTAGGGAACATGATTGTATGTAGAGCTAGGGTTTTATACGAGGGAGTAAATGTACATTTTGCTACTCCTGTAGAATAAAATCGTTTCCCCCTACAGTAGGGAACATGATTGTATGATATCTACATCTTGAAAGTAAAAACTGGGATTCGTCAAATACTAAATTTGACCAATTTTGGTATGTCAAACTTGCTGGTTTCTACTGTTTATCGGTTAAACAAAATTGGGTATTTTTATACTACATTTTATGCTATTAAACTATTATTCCTATTTTTTTTTATTTTTTTTTTGTGAAAATTTGTTCAAATCATTTCAACTGCGAGTCAAACCGGTTTTGACTAGATCAGATTTGATAACACTTCATTGAGTAGCTCTTTTTTAGTATATTTCCCATATATGTTGCAACTTATTTAAAAAAAAAATCCGCAGTTTTGATCCCCAATATGAAAAATGCATGTTTCATTGTACAATGAAGGTAAAGTACCTGATGTGCTCTATATGCGAAGCGCACACCCTGAAGCAGCAATCCCTCATGAGCAGATTCCCTTTCTGAATGTTTGACCAATTCAAGCTCCATGGAAAGTCTATTCATGCACTTTTTGGCCAGTTTCACTGAAGCTAACTTTATCTGGACCCATAATACAACAAAAATAAGCTATATTTTTATACAAAATGTGATTTTTGTAGAAAAATAGAAATAGAGGGAACCCCAAAGCTGGAGCATCCTTAAAATATCAAATTACCACCATTTACACACTGTAGAAGTTCTTTTTTTTTAATTTGTTGAGAATAATTACAGTTTAGAAGAGCAATTTTCTCAAATTTCCTTTTTATGAAAGAAGGATTAGAAGCTAACCAACCTTGTCAACCATTCCAGAATCACACATCCAGGCAGTTGGAATCTTACAATCTCTGTAACATGGCATCACCAAGTCTCGCAATTTGGCTAGCCTTGGAATCCTTTGCTCCGACCTTCAACATGATTGGTATTGCAATCAAGACAAACACATTTAGCGACATGAGAGAGAGAGAGAGATAAGAACAAAATGTAAAATTCGAAAAAGTGTATAACGACGTTATTATGCCCTTTTCTGTGCTATTATGTAATTGTGAGTTTATAGTTACTAGAAAACAGTGTTTCAAATATTGCCTGTCCAACTCTGGACACACCCAAGTTGGACTAGGTCGAAAGGGTGGGCATTCTGGGCTGAAAACCCCCAAAATCGCCCAAATCTCATGGTTTCTTAAGTCTTCTTGTTAAAAATTCCCAGGGGGGACGTATGCTCAGACCCTAGCGAGTCAAAGCTCGAGTCCGACTTTTTAGACACTGCTACAAGTAAAGAAAAGTAATAATAAATGGCTACATACTTGTCCAATAATGTAGCCATCTTCTTCAAGGCAGTTTCACAGGGCAGGCAGAGATCATCTTCATAAGAAGAGACCTCAAGTTCCAGCCGTTTAAGATCTCGATATTCAAATGCAGCTTCTCTCATCGCGTCGGCCTTTCTCTCAGGCCAGTCAAAGTGTTTAAGCACTGCTCTCTCATCTGACTGCAAAAGACATTGAAAATCAGTTTCATCTTTTTAGCACATATCCATTACCTAGAATATATAATAATTCATATTACCAAGACCAACTGTGCACACAAGTATTTCATGCCTCAGTTGTTAAATATTTAATCTCAGTAATAGAATTGATGACTATCATCTCAACATACTTTTTTCATCGTCAAATGAATCCTCTCAGAGTGAGATCCAAAGAAAACATAAAGCATTTTTTCCCATGGTGGATCAAATATCATTTTTTTTGAAACATTGATCAAAGATCTTTTCCTGGTATGTTGGTGGCCAGAGTCTAAAGCATTGTTCCTAATCCAATTCCATGGCATCCAGCCGTATGCTTCGATGAACTTAAGGTGATACAAAAACCACTCAAGCATCAATGCAACAGCTCCTGCTAAGCAAAAAATGAGTAAATTTATATTTACAGCACTCAATATGTATTACAGGGCTCTGAATCACTCATCCTAGTTTTACTCTTCTCATGATTTAACTTATTTCACCACATATCTGTCCTGATTTTTAGGAATGATTTATAAGTTTGAGCAGTGACAGTGGAACTGAGGTTTGTAGATAATTTATTGAAACTATGGAAACATTGCCATTTGATAATATCAGACATCATCAAGGATAAAAACTTCATTCATCTAAGAGAAAAAATCTGAAACAAAAACAAAAAAGATTACCAGAGACGAGAGCTCCGTGTCCAGCCAATCAACGAAGGCGAGAACTTCCTCCATATCTGCAAAGGCCATTTCTCGAATTTTCTTTATCACGAACTTGATAAATTCCCCTTTCTTTTCCACATCTGCTCTTACCTGTAAACCATATGAAATAGGATAGATGACCAATTGAAACAAATTTAGCTAACTCTGAATTCAGCAAAACTCTCTAAAATTCCAAAAAAAATGGACAAAATGTTCAACCCATGATCAAAATTTTCATGCACAACAAAGAGAATCGTGGTTCAGAGAGTTACAGCCAACATGTGTGATGACCGATTCTGAATTTCCCCAATAATGCTACTATGAGCGCTCATAACACCAGGACTACTAGAAGTGCCACTTCCCAACCCATCCTTCTTTCCTTCTCGCTTCGTTAACAAATGATAAAACTCCACCAAATCTGGAGCCTTTTTCATGGCTGCTCCTTTTTTAGACAATGCTTGTGTAGGAGGAGGTGGAGGAGGAGGTGGTGGAGGGCAAATTGGTGGTGGTTTTGGCTGGATTTGTACAGTTTTAGGAGTGGGAACTTGTTTTATGGCCATGGGTTTTGGACCCAACTGTTGCTCCATCTTACTGGCAATCAGTTTCCGAATATCTTTGAATTCAGCCCTTTGGACCTCCTCTGAAGGTGACTCCATCTCCTGAATTTAGAAAAGAGGAATAAGTTAAACCTTATAGATATTCAGAAAGAGATCAAATTTCTTTCAAACAAAGGAAATTTCCACAAATTATGCCTTTTTTTTTTTTGCAGTATAGATATTTTCCATTTTGCGCTCATGTTCTGTACTTGGGTTTGTTTTATTTCTCTCCAAAATACCTCTGGTTTGAAACTCCAAGTTCCAGGGTACTTCTTTTAAGTACCGCAAAAAATAAGAGATATTTACAAAAATTTCCCATAATCAATAGCTTATGGCTACAGTGCTTCTTTCCATGGAAAGTTAGTTGGACTCTGCAGAATAAACGTAAACCAAAAGACCCTATTTTCCACTTCTAAAGAACTGACTTGGAGGTTTGAATTTCCATTGAGAGTTGGGTATTCAGAAATTTGGTGCTTTTTATTAGTAAAAAGAGAAAAGAAAGGTACTCTAGAATATAATTAATGAATTAAAAAAGCTTATTTTGTGTTCCTAAATACAAACTTCTAATGCTTGAAGTCAGGACTCAGTGTGAGGCTAACACCAAGAACAATCTATTTCGCAAAGTGGGGATACACAGGGCCTTGTCAGTTTTATTTGGGTCATCCAACCATGCTTGAAGTCAGGGTGGGACCGGCTCTGGGGGATGAGAGAGAGAGAGAGATCAGGTGACCTGGCTCACTTGGGGTTTTGTTGTGCTGGAGCCCCATCCTCCATTACAAATATGAGAGTGATAGAGAGAAAAAGAATGTGTGTTAATAGTAGTGTGTATGTGAGAGAGAGGGAGAGAGACAGAGTGTGTGTGCTAATAGTCCTCCGTGTGCGCGTGTGTATCTATGTGAGAGAGTTTTTACTCTGTTTTGGAATAAACCTAAACCATTTTAAAAGAGAGAGAGAGAGAGTTGATACTCTGTATGTTTGTGTGTGAGAGAGAGAGTTTTTACTCTGTTTTGGAATAAACCTAAACCAATTTAAAAGAGAGAGAGTTGATACTCTGTATGTGTGTGTGAGAGAGAGTTTTTACTCTGTTTTGGAATAAACCTAAACCATTTTCAAAGAGAGAGAGAGCTGATACTGATTTGGAATAAGAGACCTAAGCCATTTTAAAAACAGACTAAACAGCCTTTGCTCAATTCCACCTCCAAACCCACCCCCGCCCCAGCCTAGCGAGAGAGGTTCAGCGGGTACAGAGTAGAGTAATATGCCACCACTCGCCCTCATTTCGTCATGTTCCTTGAGAGGACGAGGAGAGAGAGAGTCCCTTACCTGATCAGAGGCTTTAATTTCACCAACTACAGATTCTATCATGCTTTTCTTCTTAAACCCATTTTCCCTGTCAAGACTCTGAAATATCACAAGACCAGATTAAAGTATTAGGAATACTCAAAAATTTTCTTCTAGATTTTGATTTCTTTTTCTCTGATTAAAATGGCTACCAGCGACAGTTCATAAGAGCTGGAGAATTTCAGCAATTAATCTCAATTTCTGAAAACTAAAATCTGAACCATTAAGGTAAAGTCAAAGCTCACCCAACCAAGCAACAAAAGAGAGAGAAAATAATGAAAACAAGTACCTGATTAGCACTAAGTATCCGAGAATTCAGCTTTGCTTCAGCAGCAGCAAGTTCCACTGCAACTTTCCTATTCTGCAGCTCAAGCTTCTGATTCAAACTCTGCAAACTCTCAACTTGGGCTCTCAATTCTGCCACCTCAGAGTGCAAATCGTTCACCAAACCCTCACTTAGGTCGAGCTTCCTCTGCAACTCACCCTTCTCGTCCAACCCTTTCTTCTCCTCATCCGAGTCTACGACTTTCTTCAATTCATGGCCCCGGGGCCTTCTCAATCGAGCATAGCTTTCGACCGGTTGCTGCCGCATTCGACCCATTTCTCTTGCTTTGTGAGCTTCAATTTCTTCCCCACTAAAAGGCTTCAACTTGGGCTGGTTCTTCCTTGTTTTTGCACTGGAATCTGGCTCTGAAACTACTGGTTTTGGCCTCAATTTTTGACCTGATGAAACCCCATTAATGGGAGCACCTGATTTTTGGGTATCTCTGGTTTTTTGTACTCTGGTTCGATTGCCTGTTAAAGAGTGGAATAAGCTTGCCCTGCTCTCTGTAGCGATCTCTTGCTTCATGGTTTTGGCTGAGACACTCTGAACACTTGAGTTCCTCAGTATTATTCCATGACTGCACCAAATTGGGCACTGAAATGTGAAGAAGATTCTAAAATGGAGGTGATGGGTCTCATCATGGGTTGACTCTGTCCATGGTGACTGGCTGCATACTGTTAACCATTCAACAGCAAGAGAGAAAGAGAGTTGAATATATTAGATTATTTAACAACTGTAAAAAGGTATCATATACCAGTGGTGTATGGTATTTGGCAGACTACAAGGACACTCCACATAGTGTTCCCCATCTTGGATGGTGGGGAGTAATCGTGCCCAGCTAAATGTCCATTGTCGAAAACTATGTGAATCTCCACCGTTCATCATCAAGAATGGTTGGAGGATGCCCTTATTGTGTACCATACACCATAATTAATTTGCCTATGATATAGTTAGCTTTATATAAAGCATCAACCTTAATAAAAAATCAAAGTAAAAGCCACTTCCAAAATCTAAACCATGTAGAGGATCTAATTTTGGTTCCAAAACCTTCTACGGTAGTCTGGAAATTTATTTCTCTCTAATAAAATTTAAAGCTCCAAAACTGATGTCGGTAAAATAAATTTACAAACACTTAAAAATCTTGAAATAATTATAAAATACATAATTTTTAAGGATTTAAATTTTTTTTCATATTCATATATGTTGAGATTGAGATGATTAATTGGAAAGTTTCCAACATCAAAACAACCTTTTGTAATATATTTATGAAGTAAATATACTTTTTACAATATAAATTTGACGTCTTATATAAACTCCGTACATGTATTAATTAAGCTAAGGGAATGAGACCCTATATTCCAAGAAAAAAGTAAAGATAATAAGTATTTAAGCAAACATCAAAGATAAATATTGGAAAAATTAACGGCCATGATCTAAGGAGAAAAACCATCTTTGATTTATTAAGCTGAGCTGAGCATTTAAGACAACATGACAATGCAGTACTGTATATACAGGTGAAAAATGAAAGAACAGTAGTACATGAAGACATGTGACACCTAAGCCTCACGTTAAAAGTGTGAGAGAAAAGACAACAAATTTTCCTTTTCTTCTCTCTTTTTGTTGCTCTTTTTTGTCCAAGGCTTTTCTCATTTTCAAAGAATATAAGCTCCAAGATAACCTTCCATCAACTTTTCTCATGTTTACTCAATGAGAAGTCTTTCTTAACTTGTGTTTTTCTAGCTAATTGCATAGTTTTACAGAAGCTCTGATATCAATTGTAAAATCCAACACAACAATGAAGAGAAAGAAGCACCAACTTTTATTATTAAAAAAATAGTATTATAATATATTTTTAACACTGATCCAACCCATCTCTATTTCTAACTCATATAAAAACACATTTCCAACTCACTTCAAGGCTTGCACGCACAATCTATTTATAAGCACATTCAACCGCCTCACTGTTCCGAATATTCTATTTTCTTGATTTGACACCAAAAATTAGGGAATTTTTAGAATTTCTAAAATAATCAAATCAAACATTAGAAGTCTCCATAGAAATCACCTAGGCCAAGTCTGTTGTAACTATGTTTCGCTCGAGCAATTTATGTAACAATTGAAAATCCTGCACTTCGAGTGCATCGACATGGGCATCACTGTCGAGAAATTAGTAATTTACTTTCTTTCCTTCCATAAAACATGGGATTTTAGGTCTTATACATGTATCAAAATGAACATTTGTCTTCCAAGGAACAAGGCAAACTATCTCCCTAAATTTTCTAACATCAATTTAAAGAGTAATATTTTTGGCAATTGTTTATACAAGAAAACTGTGTAATGAACGATAAAAAAAAACTAAAAACGGTGAATCGAATATTGCTACTTTGGCTAATACACCCATTTAATTGGTTTTTAAGAAATTTATGTAAAGACTTAAAAAGGTTGAGGTACTGCCGCAGGGTCCATATTTTTTTACATATTATCAAGAAGGTTTTTTTTTTTGAAATTTTTTTTGCATGAAAGCATAGCTTTTGAATTGCCTGAAACACAAAAAAGAAAAGAAAAGAAAAAAATAATTAGCTTAAACATTTATTTGGATTAATCAAAATTGTAACTTTTGAACCACCCAAATCACAAAAATATCATATATATATTTAGGCTGTTTGAATGTTACACTTTCGAACTTCCTAAAGCACATTGATGAAAAAAAAAAAACGCAAGTGTTGGGTCGTTTTATAGCTTAAATACATAAGTTTTTCTAACCCCAAAGGCAGTTCGAAAATTGTACTTTCAAATCATCAAAATACATCGTCTTTTTTGTATTTCATGCGGTTGGAGGTTCAACTTTTGGACAAAGAGCAAAATGGGAATAAACTACTAAAGCGCCAAAAAAAAGTAAGATATTAATCAGCATAAAATGTTCGAAGATATAGGTCTTAATGGTACCATTTTTTCCAGTACGTACAAAAATGTCGTTTTTTTTTTCCCTTGAATAAGTTGACATTTCTTGTTTTATAAAATGAAAATCACCAATTAAAATGCTCTCTTTACAGCCCTTTGTCTTACTTTGCTACCTTTTCTTCCTCTTTTCCTTTTCTACATGTTGATTCTTTTTGTATGGGAGTCAACAGTTTACAACTGGTACCACCCATGAATAGTCGTAGAGAGACCACTAGTAGGGACCAAGCTCAAAGTTCAAAAAAGAATAAAAAGAAGAAACCACTAGTAGATAAAAGAAATAAAACGATTAAACAAAAAAAAAGAAAGAAAACACCAAAAGACATGGTGACAAACATGAGGATCCGAAGTTGTTAGGTAAACCAAGACAACCAATGTGTCAGAATTACTTTCAAGTTACAATATGCTATATATCTACCTTCTAACCCATTTGATAACGGAAAAGGTTTATATAAGGTTGCAACCATAAAATGCAGAACTACGGATGCATCTCAAAAATCCACCAGAAAAGCTTGTTTTAATCTTGAAAAACCCTCTAATTGAGCATCTCGACATTGAGATGTATGACTATGAAAGAAAAAAGGATTTTGAGTCCCAAAAATAGTGCATCTTACAACACATTATCTAGACCGTCCATTTTCAAAATTTACATATGTCTATAGATCTACTTGATTTTAACTATTTTTGAAGTTTAAAATTTTATAATTAGATATGAAGATAGATTTTGAGAGAGTCCTAAAAATATTTTACATCAAAATTATATGTTATGATCAAATTTGAAGGCGCGCCTTAATTGGATTGTTTAACGTTGCTATAGAAACCACACCCATATATTATATTATAGTTTATTGTATTGTTAAGAGTGGTATAGTGTACTCTCATGGGAGGAACTGTATATTTACTTTCTTGAGTCTAAAAGCTAATTACTAAGATTTTTTGGTATAAAATTCTGGCATTTACTTTAAAATCACCTGATTGAGTATTTAAAAATAAATATAAATAAATAAATAAATAAAAATAAAAGTCAAATGATCACGCATATGCAATGCATCTTACTCAAAAAGACCTTTCTCTTTTGTGTTCAAAGAGGACCTCCTTTGTGAGGAGGCAACCCTTCTCCCTAGAGTTCTTGAACACTTGAGTAAAGAAAATTAGACAAACTCTAGTCAATCTTACGATTTTACGGCTCTTTTTCAGGCACTGACAGAATGGATATGAAATTTTCTTTTACAAAAGTTAGTTGCTGGATGGATGGGGATCCTAAAAAGGCTTCTTGATAGAGTTTTAGAAGCGGGAACAAACAATATGCACCTGCAGGACCATATAACATTTTGACTTCTACTATTATCCTCGGTTTGGGACTATCTTGGCTTCTAAGCTAGGGAAAACAAGCATGCAGCCAATGTGTATTTAACTATTAAACTATTCACCTTATTTTTTTGCTTGGGGGGTTACATTTTAATATGAACAGCGGTTGATTATGACTCCATACTTTAAACCGTAAGCATTACCGCCCTTCAAATCCAAAGGATGTGTGCCCTCCATAGCGATTATGGAAGTCCCATAACAATAGGGTTCAAGTGCATCAGTGGACACACAGATTTAGTTAGTACACAATCCTAAATGAATTTTGGATCTAAAATTATATACACATTATTTAGAACACCACAGTCATGAATTAGAAAAAAGAAAAAGAAAAGGAAAAAAAAAAAGTCTTTGTACCTTAAAAATGCTATATTTTGTACCTTTTTGGACCCTACAACTTTATATAGTCAAAATCACACGATCTGCATTGTTTTTTTAGCTCCCAAATTCATAGATCTGAAGTGAAAATGAATTCAAGATGATTATAGATTCGTTTTGAATCCTAAATCCTTAAAAAATCATGACAGATACACAAGTAGGCGGACTCATGAAGTATTTAACCTTTTTCTGAATCAGGCATTATTGACGCCTGTTGACCTTTGTCTTTGAGGCAATCAACTGTTCGATTCTTTCTCCTACTCTAGAACCGTTGTTTCATGAATAGTTCCTTTTGGAATGCAAGAAGGAAAATGGTTTGATAGGGCTGCAGCCCTATCAAAATAAATAAATCCTCACTTCATAACGCATCAAAAATTGCAAGTCAAACATTGGAAAACCTTTACATCGACTTGAAGATTATGGTGATGAAAAAAAAATAGAATTTCAAGATCTAAAAATAGTTATATTATAACAAATTATCTAGACTGTCTATTTTGCTCTAAAAATAAATATTCACAAATCCGCAAAATCTGTACCATTTTTTAGTTTCAGAATTTATTATCAGTTTGGATATTCACAAATCCGCAAGATCTGTACCATGTTTTTAGTTTCAAAATTTTTTGTCAGTTTGGATATTCACAAATTCGCAAGATCTGTGCCATTCTTTTAGTTTCAAACTTTATTTTAAGTTTGAAAATTGATTTTAGAGCCATCATAAAGATTTTAGTCAACGAAAGTACTTTTCCAAAAAGGATTTGAGGTAATGCTTTATTTTGTTTTCATAAAGCTTAGACACCTTGTAGAAACCTCATCCATCTAAAAAACCCCATCACAATGAATGAGAATGGGACCAAGTAGGGAGACAAAAGAGAAGGTCGGCTTAATGCTTTGCCATCTCTCCAAAACATGAAGCATCAAATAGAAAATGAATTTAAGAAGGAAATGAATGCGATCATCTAATGTGGGACAAAGTGCCAAAATTTCACTAGGGCTAGCATGGCATC